GAAGCCTGGAGATGCCAAAATATCTTAAGACGGGAGTGCAGAAACTTTCTAATTTCCTTCAACTCCCTCAAAAACTGTTCAGAAACGAACCGTGTAACCGAATCCCCTGCCTCCTGACATCTGGTCTTTGCATTTGGTTAAGTTTTTGCACCAAAAGTCAGGCCGAGTCTTCTGACTCTTCTGTAATTTACAGTACGAACAGCAAATGTCTGGAACAGCAATTATTTTATTGAACAGGCTGGAGCATTCCAAACCCATGTGGGAAACCGATGGCATTTTGGTCTCTTTTTTTCTTTCCCCCTTCTCCTCTCCTTTTTTCCCCCCTCAGAAACTTCTAGAAGTGAACAACCTTCATTCGCTCATGTCTGTGGTCTCAGCTCTCCAAAGTGCGCCCATTTTCAGGCTGACCAAAACCTGGGCCGTAAGTTACTCTGAATTTTTTTGTTTTGGATTTCTTTGGCATCCTGGGTCTCCCCATCCTAAAATCCGTCTCCCCCAAATATCTGAAAAGGCTGCTTCATTTCCCGCTGCATTGGGTTTCAAGGGAGTCCTCGGCCACAACTGAGCCCAGCATTTCTGTCACGAAGCGAGACAGTTTTGCCCCGTTTTACGCCTTTTCTGGCCACCGTGGTTAAGTGAATCACGGCACTTGTTCAGTTAGCAACATGGTTTGCTAAGTGAATCTTGGCTTCCCCGTAGAGTTTCCCTGTCAGAAAGTTGCAAAGGGGGATCACGTGGTGCCCCCATCACGGTCATAAACATGAGTCAGTTGCCAGGCATTTTGACCTGGTGACCCTGGGGATGCTGGGACCGTCGTTAAGTGTGAAAAATGGGCTCATCCCTTCCTTTTTTTTCAGTGCCATTGTAACTTTGGAGCGAACGGTTGTAAGTCAAGGACTATGTCAACTCATAAAACATCCCTATGTCTGTTTTAGTAGTTGCCATAAAAAAAAGGAGGGGGGAAGGAAAAAAATCTGGAAGAGCAGTTTGAAAGCAAAAGTACATTCCAACTCTTTATCTTTAAAAGGTTGTAATTAAAATACCAGAGCTTTTGCCTGCGGATATATTTAATTGGAGAATGTGATTGATGACACCCAGCGTGAAGGTGCTCAATGGGAGAATCTGATTTATGACACACCCAGCGGGGAGAGGGGAAACAAGCTCACAGGGTGATGTAGGCCAGAGTTGGCTTTATACAGGGCAGTGCCAGTATGTCGCCTCTAATGAATCCTTGGAAGTTTTTTGAAGTTTGGCTCGAGGATCATGATTGAATTAGGGAGATTGCTAGAATCCTGACAGACTACCTCTATAGGGGAAATGGATGTCAAATGGTCACTAAATGAACTTTCGTAAGTCGAGGGCTACCTGAATTCCATTTTTCCAAGAGAAGAGGCATCTTCTTTTTTGAGAGTTTAAAATGAGAGGAGCTACACTGACAGCTTTCCCAGCGGTGTTTACAAACGCATAAAAAAATCACATTTTAACATTTATAATCGGCTGGTGGAAAGAGCAACAGTGATTTAAGGGCAGGATTCCTAAAATTACTTAGAAGTCAACTGCACTGAGGAGGTCTTAAGTATTTCATAAATAAATGAAAATAAACAGAGCTCAGCTTCCTGCGCAATTGCTGTTGCTCCAGGCGCGCATATATATTCGCTTTCCATCCCAGTTTCCACGAAACATTATTCACCTTTTTTTTTTTTTTTGGTTTGCGAAATTCTTTTAATTAAATCTCTGCCGTGTGACGTCAGCTGCTTCTCTGCTCTCTGCAAAGTAGCTTCTTGTGTGTGTTGGTGGTGGTGGAAGCTACGGTTAGGAAAATACATTTTGTAAGTGCTTTATGTTTCAAACGCCCACTGAGTTGTGACAGCTGTCCATTTAATTCCCGACTCCCAAATGTCACAGGATGGAATAGTAGCCCATTCTGTGATGCCGAGGTGGCGGTTGTTGTTGGTGTTGAGAATCTAGAAAGAGGGCAGAGAAGAGCAACCAGGAGGATTAAGAAGGCACTGGGGGCTAAAACACGCGATGAACACTTGCAGGAACTGGGCATGGCTGGTCTAGGGAAGAAGAGAAGGACCAGGGGAGACAGGAGAGCATCTTCCAATATTTCAGGGGCTGCCCCAAAGAAGGGGAGGGGGTCAAGCTATTCTCCAAAGCCCCTGAGAGGCAGGACAAGAAGCAACAGATGGAAACTAATCAAGGAGAGAAGCAACTTAGAACTAAGGAGGAATTTTCTGACAGTGAGAGCAATCAACCAACAGGAAGGGGATGTGTAAAAAGGGATTTGGGAGCAATTCGGAGCGCGCTGATCCTTTATGCACATTTTATATTTTCTCGGGACAGGAAATGATAGATTAGAACAAAAGGCTCGGTACTGAAACCGTGGTGTTGGATATATATATATATTTTTCTTTTCCAGTTCTAAGAAATATTGTCCAAAGCCGTAAATTTAAAAGAAAAAAAATATTTCTGGTGTCTGCTGTGGGAGTTTTGAAGTTTAAGAGGCTTTGGAACAGAATCATCCCATTTTTACTCAGATGGATTTTGTTTCTGCATCTGTAAATTTGTTTCTGCAAATCGCATCATATCAATGGAATTTTATTTTTTTAAAAAAATAATAATAATGCATTGGTGTCATCCTAAGCAAATCGGCATAGGGCAGGTAGACCCTCACTGAGCAACAACGTTACGAAGTTACAACGGCACTGGAAAAAAATGAATTACGACCGTTTTCCACAGTTACAACCTTTGCTCATGGGATCAAAATTCAGAGGCTTGGCAAAGCGCTTCATACTTACGACAGTCGCAGTGTGTCCCGGGGTTACGTGATTCCCTTTTGCGACCGTCTGACAAGAAAAGTCAATGGGGGCAGCCAGATTCACTAAACAACCAGCTTGCTAATCTTAGCAACCACAGTGATTCTCACTTAACAACCGTAAATTTGGGGCTCAGTACCACCTGTGATAGCGCAGCCGCTTATTCCTTTCGGTTGAACATTTAAAAAAAAAAAACAAAGGGAGGAAGAATCCTCCTAACGTCATTCAAAATGCACTCTGTGATCGGTTCCCTGAACATTTTTTCCCCAAAATGTATACAAATGCATGCAGTTCTGTTTTATCTGCGGTGAGTCGCCGCTGCCAAACATTTTCCTAGCAGAAATAAAATGGCCGCAAACATCAAGGAGGCGGGTTAAATCCCTATTATTAGACGCCGTTGCAAAGCATTAGCAAAGGGAAACGGCATCGATAAAATGATAAAACTGTGGGAAATAGTTTTGCCTGGAAAATTGACTTAACTATGAAGAGCTCTGGGGGAAAAAACAACCATCACCCAAATGATGGTTATAATTGGTCATCGTTTCTTGGTCGTATTAACCATATTTTCCCTCGAACGTTGGACAGATGTCATTTTGGAGAGAGATATCGTAAAAAAGATGGTTTAACATGGTTGTGTTTCAAGATGTATTCACGTGTCTTTTCTTTTTTTCTGTTCTTTTTCAAATTCTTTTTAAAAGTCCTAGTTGCCCTTTTGAGGACTGGCCTAATCCAGGTTAGATACATATTGTGATGACCCGGGGCATGGCACAAAGGCAACACAGCCAGAGAATAAGTAGAGATCCCTTTATTAGCTCCAACTTTGCACCCAATGACCCAGTTACCTTCTGGTCGGGAGAAAAACTCTCCCACGAAACTGCAACAGCCTTTGGCTGCCAGTATTCCAGTCCAAACGTTGTAAACAGAAAACTTCAAATTATCAATCCAACAAGGCAAAATAAGGTAATAAATCTGGCAGAGCAGTAAATCAAACCAGTTGGGAGGATGCCAGGAACTCAGATAACAGCAGCCAACACAAGATAAATTCAATGTTTATTCCTGGCAAATGCTCCTCCCAACTGGTTCTCCTTTAAACTCCCTCCCCAAGTGTGCCTTGTGAAGGGAATCAGGGCCCTCTCCTCCCCCGTAAGCCACGGAACCCACATTGCTCTCTTCTCCGTTCTTCCCTGCGTGGCCTAGGATAAAGAGAGGGTGAGCCTGGGCTTTCCTATGAACCCCCTCTCCCTTGTTCTACCTCTCCCCTGCTCTGCCCCGCCTGACTTTGCCCTTCCCCAGTTTCCTCCACTCCCCCGCTCCCATGGCGGCTTATTCGTCTTCCTCCTCGGATTCAGACTCCGACGGGGGGGGGGGGGGGGGGATGACACATACGCTGATGTCCCTCCCATGCCTACTCATGTCATGGAGAACTGGCCTTAAAAAGGCCAAGATCTCCGAATCGTTCAAGCCATGATTTTGACAGCATGTTGGAGATCTAGCCAAACTCCTCTTTGATAACAGCTTTTTTTGGGAGGGGGGTTGTCTCGGTTTAACTGCGGCTCATCGAAAACATTCCATTCTTATGACACAAGGGTAGGATGTTTTTTTTTTAAAGAGATGCACTTTCCAAGGATAATAAGAAGGGAGTCCTTTTCTTCACATCTGGAACCCAGTGAACAATTGCCTTAATTATAGAGAATAAAGAGCTAATAGCATCTTCGGTGCAACAGATCGTTTAACATTTTCCGTCGGGTTTTTTTTAATAGCGTTTGGAAGGAGTTTAGATTTATCATGGAAGTGAATAGCTGGCCTGTGGCAGGAAGGAATGATGTCTCCACACAAGTAATGAATTGGAGTAGCCCCTCCTTGGCTAGAGATGTCCATAGCTTGGCAGAATAACAGAATGACAGGGTTGGAAGGGGCCTCGGAGGTCTTCTAGTCCAACCCCTTGCTCAAGCAGGAGACACTCTACCCTTCCAGACAAATGGATGTCCAATGTCTTCTTGAAGACCTCCAGTGATGGAGCACCCACAACTTCTGTTCCACTGATTAATTGTTCTCCCTGTCAGGAAGCTTAATTCCAGGTTGCTTCTCCCCTTGGTTAGTTTCCATCCATTGTTCCTTGTTTGGCCTTTGGGTACCTTGAAAATAGCTTGACCCCTTCCTCTTCTTTGGGGCAGCCCCTCAAATATTGGAAGACTGCTACCATGTCTCTCCTCGTCCTTCTTTTCACTAGACTAGACATACCCAGTTCCTTCATCTTTTGTTTTGGCCTCCAGCCCGCGTCCTCTTTGTTGAAAGTTGGCATTTCAACCCAACCTGGGCAGTTCGATCAAAACGTTGCGAATCGATCTCTTTTGCTACCTCAACCCCTCTCCCTAATCCAGATTACCTTTTCTCTGTTTCTTTCCCAGCCTTCTTTCCCCCTTTTGGATCTCAGGTCTTTTCGTTTGTGCTTTTTTTTTTTAGGAAAAAAAAAAAAAGAAATGAACGTTGTTTAGAACTATTCTAAAAGAACTTGCTCCCTTGTATAAACATTCCCTAACATCAGCGGGAATTCAGCCTCCCTTGAAAATTCAGTAGGAGTTGCTAATCTGCCAAAATGGACCCAATTCTAGCCATGACTGGACCTCGTTACTTCATCTCAAAACAATCAAAAAAAATCTTCTGTCTCTGTTATTAGTGACAAGGAGCCGAACTCTCTGTGTGTGTTTGTGTGTGTGTGTGTGTGTGTGTGTGTCATCTTTTGGGAATGAGGGACAAAAATGGCAGCCTCTCAAGCATTTCCCAAAATTAAGTTGGGCGTCCTTTTAAGTCAGAAGGCAACACTCCCAAGATCTCTTTCTTAGAAAAGGAATTAGAAAAAAGCCCCGAATCAGGGAAGGCGTTGCTTAACTAGGAGCACATGGGATTTTTCTCATGCTTTGAACATGTGCGCAACCCGTTTCAGGGCCGAAAACAACATCATTAAAATACGAGACTTGGACAATTTTGATGGATCGGGTATGTAACTCAACAGGAAAGTTTTCGAGTCATCTGGTGGGTTGGGTTTTTTCCCCCCCTTGATTTGTGAAACTGCCCTACAAAGGGATCCAAAGTTCAGATAGTCCTCGTCTGTTGGGCCCCAAAATTTTTGTCGTTCAGCAAGACAGTTGTGTTTTATTATTATATTTTATATTATTATATTTTATATTATTATATTTTATTTTATATTATATTTTATTTTATATTATATTATATTTTATATTATTATATATTATTATATATTATATTATATTATATTATATTATATTATATTATATTATATTATATTATATTATATTATATTATATTATATTATATTATATTATATTATATTATATTATATTATTATATTATATTATTCGTATCCATTTCATGTATTCATAACCATGTTTATACTTATACCATGTTATCTAATAATCCCTTGACAAAACAAAATAAATAAAATAAAATAAAATGTAAAAAATGCAAGTAGAAAAAGAGGGACCCCTTTGGTGGGAAGGGAACAGCGTTCCTCCGTGCGCCTTAAAAGGCGTTGAGTCCTGCCGGCCACATGACCACGGAGACGTCTCCGGACAGCGCTGGCTCTTCTTTGGCTTTGTAACGGACATCAGCAGCGCCCCCTAGAGCCGGAAACGACTGGCACAGATGTGCAAGGAGGGGAACTTTTACCTTTACCTTTTAAGCTGTAAACCGTATCTTCCTCTTTTTTTAAAATTTCTTTTGTCTTCAGCTTTTGAACCGCAAGGACAAGACCACTTTCGAGAAGCTGGACTACTTAATGTCGAAGGAAGACAATTACAAGAGGATGCGGGACTACATCCGATGCTTAAAAATGGTGCCCTGCATTCCTTATTTGGGTAAGTTTTAAAACAATTTTATTTTTTTCCCCTTACCCGCCCGAAAAGCTCCTCCGGTAACCGCGTTTCTCCTTCTGAGTAATATACAAGCCTGGCCTTACCTTGGATCCAACTTATTTTGCCTCGGAGTTCTGTTTGCTACGGGTGTATTAACTTGGAAGCCTGACCCAGACGTGGTAACTTCTCTCCATTAAGGCTCCTTTACCAAATTTCCCAGTAAATGTATTTTAGGGTAAATTTTCACAATATGGCGATCGACCTTTCCCTGTTTTTAGACGAACAACAAGGATGAACCGTCTTAAGTTCAATGGCGGTTACAGAGATTTCTATCCTAAAGAGTTGCCCTTTGATGCTGTATTTTCATGCGATGTTGCAAGTTGTTATAATGCTGTGCTGTTCTCACACTGTAGTAAAACCAGCTCCTTCCCAGATAGCACATTACAAGGTTTAAAGCTATATTATCCATTTAGGCCAAGTCCTTTGAATTTATTGCTTGGAAACGGGCAAAGGAGCCTTTGTTAGCTCATTTTCTTGGCGCTTCTGTGGCTTGGCCTGTGTGTGATGCTAACATGACATAATTGTCTGTGTTTATTTTGTGATTTTTCTGAGTAATTTTAAGAAATGCTTCCTTTTCTTTATTGAAAGCCACATACTTGGAAGATAAAATCCTCGGGTTTGTAGTTCCGTGCTACAGTTAAGAGATTTGCTTTCCACCCGAGTCTAAATGGAAAGAGAAGTTGATTTCATTTGAGAAAATTCGCTTTGTAGCTCTGTCTTAGATTATTTTGCAAGTCTGGGTTGAAAGGACGGCTAAGTTTGATAAACGGAAGGTAGGGGAGGAGGGAAGTTCCAACCGCTGCACCCTTCCTGAAGATGAATCGGGGATTTGTGGACTTAATTTGTCTTAATTCTGCTTGTTGCATTGATCATCGCAAGGGACAAGAAGAATTCCTGGATTTGAAAGAAGATTTGGTGTGGGATTTTTTTTTTTATATAAATGCAGAAATTGCAAGGAGAATGTTTAGCAGTTGTTCTGAATAGCGAGATAGGTGGCTTATAAATTTATTAAATAAATAAGGACTTGAGAGGTCCTTGGTGGTCTCAAAGCTTGGTTGTTTTCTTGCAGACATTTCATGACCCAACCAGGTAATATCATCAGTGCTAGTGAGGACAGGTAAAGGCAAAACTGAAGATTGGGGTAAGGATGGATGGATGGATGGATGGATAGATTGATAGATAGATAGATAGATAGATAGATAGATAGATAGATAGATAGATGATAGATAGATAGATAGATAGATAGACAGACAGACAGACAGACAGACAGACAGATAGATAGATGATAAGTAGATAGATAGATTTATAGATGATAAAATATAGTTGATAGATGATAAAGTAGATAGATGATAAAGTAGATAGAAGAAAGAAAGAAAGAAAAAGAAAGAAAGAAAGAAAGAAGAAGAAGAAGAAAAAAGAAAGAAAGATAGATACATAGAAGATGGATGGATGGATGGATGGATGGATAATAGAGATATATATCTGTTCTCTTTGTGAACTTTATTATTTGAGATTTAAGAAGAAGGGCGAAAGACCGGAGCTTTTCTTTTCCCATTGATGTATTCTTTACCTACCTGTTTTCTGCAGTTTCTCCTTTCCTTCTATTTGACTTTGGCAAAACTCAAGAGTTTTTGAGTTTACATTTCGCCTCTCGCCTGAGTGCCAGGTTAACATTTTGTCTCTGTTTCCCATAATCTTTTCTTTTCTTAAAAAACACAAAAAAACACCCCTCCAAAACATCTTCTTCCCTTCCTTCCCTCAGTAGCATTGCAACCTCTTTTATTTTACAAAGAGATTCGGAGAGCAGCTCATCCCTTAGACTAGAGCTCATGACACATTGCATGCCTCCTTTTGTTTTGACAAAATCTGCTAACAGACATGACCTCTCGTCTCGTACCGGGCGGGGAACAAAGTGGTGCTCTGCCACTCATTTCATTTTTGAGGGCTTATTTGTTTGTCTTAGCGAACTTTGCTTTTAATATCGTTTTTCACTTAAAAGTTGGCAGCCGCCTCCTCCAGTTGTTTGAAAAGCTCGGCTGAGCTCCGTAAATCGTTTCCAAGAATCACACAGTTCAAGCCAGTAGTTGCTGCAGTTTAAGGTGGCATGTCTTGGAGAACAAGCGGGTCTGGGATTAATGAAATAGTAGTAGCAACATCAAAGGATTCCTGCGCTTTTAATTTTTTTTTTTTTTAAGGGTCTTCTCTGCCTCCCAATTTTTACAGTTGGAAGAGACGAAAGGGCGGGGAAGAAAGAGCTCGCTTGATGGTCAAGATTACGAGGTTCACTTGTAGCTGAGTGCAGCACAAATTGTGTGGTTTTAAGGAAGCTGCAATCTTTGTGCATTTTTTTTTAAATGATGCTTTTTCACAACCACTAGATAGGAAGGTAGGTAGGTAGGTAGATATGGATATAGATAGATTATAGATAGATATGATAAAGAAGATGATAGATAGATAGATAGATAGATAGATAGATAGATAGATAGATAGATAGATAATAGATATGATAAAGAAAATAGATAATCACTGTTATTCCATTGAATAGGTAATAATGGTAATTATCCATTTCTATCATCTATCTATTATCTTTGTGTCTCTCTATCTCGGTCTATCAATTGATTTATTGATGTATCGATCTCTCTGTCTGTATCTCTCTCTGTGTGTCATAATAAAATAATCCATGTGTGTATCCAAGTAATATTTGTTGCGTTTATTACTCATTTGCAGCATTACAAGGTCATCCAACCATATATTAAACTCCCTACTTTCATTTATGTACAAGGCATGCTACCTCATTCCAAAATTGTCCATCAGGAATGAAATAATGAGGTAATAACAGTTTTAAAACTTTACCGTTTCCACTGTTCCTAAGAAGCGACGTCTTAAAATAATTTCATTTCGGTGTTTACCTCAGCAGAGTACAAGAATTCAGAAGTCAAAGTTTCTACAAAGGGCATTATAGATAAGTTTGCATAATTCTCTTTTGACGTGTGTTTGGCCCTTATAGTAAAGTACGGCAAATGATTCTGTGTATCACATCACTTTCCAAAGAGTTACAGTCTAATGGCAAATTAAACGGGTTCTGTTCCAATAGCTATTATTTGCCTTCAATTTAAGGAAGCCGTAAACTTTAACCCTTTCCTTTTGTTTTTAATGATACGAGGATCTAACTTCGCCCACCCTCCAAGTTTTTATTCCATTTATAACTCTGTGAGTTGCACGACTGTTCTTTTTATTAGAGAGAGAAAACTTTCCAAGGGCAACTTTGCTCAGAAGCTGAAATAGTCATTTATATTATCAAAACATTTGTGCAGATGATAAAGAAGGACCTAAATTATTCCCAAAAGTCTCAAAAAAAATCCACATTGATACTGCTGAGATAATTGGGGGGGGGGAAAGAGTACAGTATGAGTTTTGGTCAACGTTTGGAGAATGGCCAATGCCTTCAGGAGGATGAGCGAAGAGAAATATTAGAACTGTTTGTATAAACCGCTCGAAATAGTTCTTGGTGGAGTCATAACGCCGCCTGGCATCCAAATAGAATGGGAAGAATTCCAAACTTGGAATTCCATTTGTGCAAGACACAGTTGGTGGAGAGGCACTAAAATCCCTGGAACGGATTAAATTAAGGACTAAATTTTAACAGCCTAAGATACTGGCTACATAGCTTCAAAGGATATAATCTCCTGTGTCAAATGGATCTATTATTTACTCTACCGTTTCGAATATGTGCAGCATTCCGAGAGTATATCTAATATAGGAAGCGTTTTAGATGGTGGGGCAGCTTTCCTAGGATCTGTGTTGATCGACGGTCCGTGCCATCTTGAAAGCGACCGCTTGGCTCCTTGTTTTCCAGGCCAAAAAGAGAGAGAAAAGCCGCTTGTTTTGGTTCTAGATCGATCCTGGGACGGTCCAATATCCAGGTCTCCTTGTCCAGCAGTCAGTGTGTACGAGATTATCTCACATTCTTCGCTGCCGAGAGGATGGGTTGCATGGGAAAGACGTCACTCTCGGCCCCTCGGGAGGGGACTCCCTTCAGTGGAACGTGTTCGGGTTCGGCCTAATCATCATCGTCACTTTTTTCAGGGAATACGACCCTCCCCGGAACTCTGCCCAGTAGACTCCATCTTGGTAGCGGCTCCGGTAATGGCCCCCTCGGTACCAGACGCCGTTGAGGTTGGAGTGGGCGCATGCGTTATACCACCAGCCCCCTTTCTGATAGTGGGCGCAGTTGCCTGGAAGAGAAATAGGGAAACCACGTTCTGAATGGAGACATTTTCCTGACGGGGAGGACGATTCCTCAGTGGAACGGAAGTGGCTGCCAGAGGTTGTGGCTGCTCCGTCACTGGGGGCTTTCAAGAAGAGACTGGACAAACACTTCCCTGGAAGGGATATAGGGCAGGGGGTTGGACTAGAAGACCTCCAAGGTCCCTTCCAATATTTATTGGGTCCAATCACACTTGGCCAATAAAGAATATTCTGTTCTGTTCCATCCCTACCCTACCCTATCCTTAATTCATATTCTATTCTATTGTATTCCATTCTATTCTACTCTTAATTCATATTCTGTGGTGTTCTGTTCTGCTCCCTATTCTACTCTACTCTACTCTACTCTACCCTACTCTACTCTACTCTACTCTGTACTCTACTCTTAATTCATATTCTATTCTGTTGTAATCCATGTTCTATTCTATTCTGTCCTATTCTTAATTCATATTCTATTCTACTCTTAATTCATATTCTGTTCTATTCTTAATTCATTTTCTATTCCATTCCATTCCCATCTAAGATAACTTTAATGCACGTTCCCACTGAATTCACTGCAGATTTTTGTACCTGTGTATACATCATGGTCTCTATCCAGCGTGGTGAATTGTTTGCCGTTGTGCCACGTAAAGGAATCTCCCGCATTGCCGTTGTATCGTCCCACTCGCAACTTGTAGAATTCACTTTCCGGCTCCAGACGGAAGCTGGCGTATTCTGCGAAAACTTTGCGTCCTGTCCAGTCCTCCATGGTTATCAACAACTTGTAGTTGCCTTGGTTTGTCAGCCAGTAAATGTTTTCCAACCCCAGCCAGTACTCTCCATCGATGTTACCAAACCCTTGCTACGAGACAAAAATTAAAATTATCCCCTAGTATTGATTTTACAAAAAGATTTGCAAGTTCCAGGTAGCCATGATCTAGCAGTTGTTAAATTTCCATGCCTCTCAATGTTTTGAGGGCCAGGGTAATTGTAATTTTGAGTTGTACACCCCACCATCGGTCTAAGCAATCTCTAAATTTGATAAATAAATAAAATTGGGCAGCCACTATTCGATTCTCAGATTCCCTCAAAAGATTTAAGACTTATTAGAGGGAATCCAGTCTAAATTTCTTCAACCAATTTTGATTTGATCTAGGTGCTTATTAAGTGTTGTAATGAACCTAGAAACTAGATTGGCTTCATAGATACTGTGATATACCTTGTATTCATTGATTGATTGATTGCTTCATTAATTCATTAATTAATTAATTAATTAATTAATTCATTCTATTTGTATAACTGCTTATTGTACTTAGACGACCCTGCAGGTTTTAATTTTATTTTTTTCTACTTATTTAAAATCTTGGATAGTCCTGACTGATGTGAGACATTCAAATTCACTGCTATGAATTTTTTTTTTTTTTTAGAATTGTCTGTCTCCCTTGATTTAAAGAGAGATAAGGCAAGCTATTAATAAAGAGCATGGATGGGATCCTAAACATCCTCTATCAATGGATATCAATAGCTATTTTATTCTAACCCCTTATTTATTTCATGTGATGTTACTAAAACCCTGTCAGTGTTTTCGCGCTTTACGGTTCTTCCCTGGATGATGTCAAGATTAGGTAGATTATCCTTGATGCAAGGATGGAACTTAGGCTGTAGAACAGTTTCATAAATAGCTGTCAGTTCATTCTGCTGCATATATTTGAGAAGTGGCCTCTATTCTTCTACCCCAGTCACCAGGGTCTCTGACAACATCTCAAGCATTATGGTGTTCGGTGCAAAAGATCAGGACTGTACATTATGTGGCAGCACAGAAGTTTTCTTCAAACCTCCTGCCTAGGCAAGAATGTAGTCAACTAACTGTCAGCACTAAATTGGCATTAGATAAAGGTCAGTACAATTCAAGAGGGATTGGATCGTTTGTGGCAACATAAGGATTCTAAGCTGATGACATGTTTAACTCCGCCTTCCAGCCTGCCTGCTCTTGTCCTACTTCTGCCATTCTTTCACTGTGAGGACCAGACCTACGAAGTCGAATGCTCTTAAACATTCTTGACGAATTCCCCTCGGGGGAAAAAAAAACAACCATGACTCTGCAGAAGATTTTCTCCCTTGCTGAAAGGAGCCATTATTTGGCCTCACCTTATAGGTTTCCCAGTTCCTAAAGAAATTAACCGAGCCATCCAAACGCCTTTGAATTACAGTCCAGCCGCCGGGATCTTGCCGCTGATCGCACCAGACTTGCATCAATCGGTTGGCATTCTCAGGTTTGACCAGATATATGGAGCTGGTCCCGTGGCCGTCTTCTAAAGCTTGTAAACAGTCTCGCCAAGGACCTGGTGGAAAATAAGAGACACCATATGTCTTTCTTGTAAGGCCCATCATCTCAGTTCTCGACAGAGTCAAACAGAGTCAAACTCTTCTTTGTGGCAACCCCTGAGATATTGGAAGACTGCTATCATGTCACCCCTGGTCCTTCTCTTCACTAGACTAGACATACCCAATTCCTGTGGGCCGCAGGCCAGGGTTAGGGACCCCTTGCGTAAAACCTGCTCTTGTTCAGAAAGGAAATCTGCTTATTTTTTGCTCAAAATCCGGCACCTTCTAATATTTAATCATTTAATTGTGCATTTGTTGATAGCACCACAGGCCTTACCGACCGCCTCAGTGCAAAACATCTTGTACTTACATTCAGAGATATGTCCGCCTTTTGATTTAGACCTTTAAAAAGAAAGGATATAACTGGCTGGCCAGGTATTGGGAGGTTTTCAAATCTCCCCTTCCTTTCTAGATGCCCGGCGTGTGTTTGTCCTTCTGCACTTGCGTAAGCCACACTTCGTACACTAAGCGTCCCACAAGAGGCAGGAGTAGGAGCAGGCTCCATTTAACAAAAAATATCTTTTTTTCAAAAAAAAATAACCCATCATTTCATATATTAATCGTATCTGGCTAGATCTGGCAACTGGAGCTGTGGGAGTCCTGGATTTCTGAATTATTTCCTAAAGGCAAGAGTTTTCCATCCTTTAAAGCAAAACAAAAAAAACCCCAAACCCGAGGGAGAATTGAACTCTTTCAGTCCGAAAGAGTTAATTTGTCCTGCCAGTTGAACACATCCCAAATCAAAGCATGTGTTTCCTGTCTCTGGAGAGTTTTCCCCAATTAAGATGAAAAAAATGGCTGTTGATGATTTCATGTAGAAGTTTTGTTTGACTAAGAGTCCTGTTCTCTTTCATCATCCTTTAAAAAGTTTCTTAGGTGAAGGAGGGGTGGGGGGAAAGTGCTTTTCATAGTTGTTTTTAAGAACTCCACCTCTTTTAAGAATTCTCTCGCGCATTAGTTTCTCCTTCTGTGAATCCCACTTGCCATTCCTTTGGGCTTATTAATCTAATTGTTCAGGATCAATAAAGAGAGTTTGTTTGTCTTCTGAACTGTAACAGCCCCTTCTCTTTCCCCCTGACAAGCCCAGGGTCCTTTCCCCCAGATTTAAAAACCTTATGGCCAAAAAAAAAGGAAAAGAAAAGAAGTATATTAAAATATCAGAAGGAGAGATGCGAAGCAGGGCATGGCGTGACATTAGGAGAGTAGCTGGGAGGGTTGCTTTTTTTTCTTTCTTTTTTCTTTCTTTCTTTCTGGCTGGTGAAACGTTCCCAGCGTAGCCTTTAGCTCCTAGGAAGTTTTCCATAATTGAAGAAAGGAAAATACAGCTCTCCGTGTGTTCCCATCCAAAGAGTAGGAGGAGGTAGGCCTCCCTGAGGAGCTATGCGTTAAGATGGAGGGAAAGCAGATCGCTGTCCGTGCAAAGCAGAATGGAAGGTAGAATTGGAAAGGGAAGAGAGAGGAAGGGAGGGAGGGAAGGAAGGAGATGGAAGGAGGAAAGGAAGGAAGTTGGAAAGAGGAAGGAAGGAGATGAAGAGAAAGGAGGGAGGAAGAGAAGCAAGGAGAGGGAGGTACTCAGGGATGGAGGGGGAAGGAAGATGGAAAGAGAAAGGATGGAAGGAAGGAAGGAAATGGAAGGAAGGAAGGAAGGAAGTTGGAAAGAGGGAGGAAGGAGATGAAGAGAAGGGAAGGAGGGAGGTACCGAGGGATGGACTGAAGGAAGGAAGGAAATGGGAAGGAAGGAGATGAAAATGGGAGGGAGAGAAGGAAGGAGAGGGAGGGACTGAGGGAGGGACGAATGGAGAGAAGGAAAGAAGGAAGACAAGGAAGGAGATGAAAAACCAGAGTCACTTAACAGCCATCTTACTAACTCAACAACAATTCATGAAACAACCACGTCAAGAAAGGTCGTGAAAGTGGGGAAAACTCACTTAACAACCGTCTCGCTTAGCAGTAGAAACCGTTGCCAAGGACCACTGCGATGCCAATACTATGACCGCCTGGGAGCCCTGGAAGAGAAATGGGGGGGGCTCTCTTGGCGGCCGTATGCCGAGGGCTTCCCGCATCCGGTCCATAGCCCCCGATCGATCAACCTACCTGAGGGCTTGTCGGTCGACGTTGGGACGCTGGTGACGGGCGGCATGGTCGGGAGGCTGGGTGGCAGAGCCTTTAAGTTCTGGTCGCTCTGAATTTCGTTGGTGGAGATCTGGTTGGTGATGCGGTTGTAGGTGGGCGGCTGGTAGACGCGGTTGGGGGGCTGCGGCGGTTGCAGGGCCGGCATCCTCTGGCAGTGCTCTTCCAGCTGGGCGATCACCGTCGACTGGTTGTTGGCGATGGCGACCAGGTGCTGGTACTTGTGCTCCAGGTCCTTGTACCTGCTGGCCAGCTGCAGCATGTCGGCCGTCTGGTTCAGGATCTTGTTCTCCAGCTGGGAGAGCTCCAGCGCGTTGTCCCGCTTCCGGATGATCTCATGCAGCAGCTGCATGTAGAGCTGGGTGACGCGGGAGTTCATGTTGCGGCTCTCTTTCCGCAGCAGCTTGACCTCGTTCACAATGCCGCCATCCACCTCCACCAGCTGCTGCAGGGTTTCGATCTGCCTCTTCTGCTTCAAGAGCTCGTGGTTGAGGAGCTCCAGCTCCTGCTTGTGGACCCTGTTCTCCAGGAGGGGTCCGTCGGGTTCCTTGGAGTTCACACAAATGGCCCCCGTGACTTTTTGCTGCGGGACGATGAACGTGTAGGTGCACTTCTCCTGCGCCTCGCTGGAGCGCCTGTGTCGGTTTCCGTAAATGAATCTTTGTGTCTCTCCCGCGACGCGGCTTCCGACACCTTCGGGCCCCTGAGCTTTGAGTCCCACAGCAGCCACTAACAGCAAGCAAACCGCTGCCTCCATTGTCCTTATTTCGTGAGGGAAGATTTTTCTTAGATTATCTACAGTAAACATAAAACAAATGGGAATATCCAGTAGCGATACCAATAGCCTTTAGACGTATGGACCTCAGTGCTTGACAGGCCGCTCTAAGCGGTTGACAGAGTCAGCCTCTGGCTCCCAAGAATCTGGCTCCTCCTTTCATCGACCTCAGAGAGGTGGAAGGAAAGCTTGAGCTGGTCAGAATCGAACTGCTGGCAGTGAGCAGTGACCATAGGAAGGGAAGGGAGGGAGGGAAGGAGGAAGGAAACAGGGAGGGAGGGAGGGAAGAAGGAAGGAAGAGTGGGAAAAGAGGGAGAGGAAGGAGAAAGAGAAGGAAGGAGAAAAGAGGGAGAGAAAGAAAGAAGGGATGGAAGGAAACAAGCAATATCAATAACAGTCTTATATACCGCTTCACAGTGCTTTACAGCCCTCTCTAAGCGGTTTACAGAGTCAGCCTACTGCACCCTAACACTCCACCACCGTGGCTCTTGTCCACAGTAAATGTCTGTGGAGATACTCAGTCATCCAGGTCATCCCAAAGATGCTTTTTCAAGCGGCAACTGGAGTTTCTGGTTTTTCTCTGAAGCTGTTTCACTTCTCATCCGAAAAGCTTCTTCAGCTCTGACTGGATGCAGGGGAATGGAGGGATTTATACTCCTTGCAGACAGCTGGTCATTTACATTCTTTTTATAGCATCGTTGAGGCCACTTGGAGGTTTATCTGGGTCCTCAGGGCCCCCTGAGTGGTGCAAAGTAAGGACACAGACAAACTTCCAAGGGCCCACAAAGCCATTCTTAAAGGATGCAAATGACCAGCTTGTCTGCCAGGAAGATAAATCCTTTCCTTCCCCTCCATCCAGTCAGAGCTGAAGAAGCTTCTTGGATGAGAAGTGAAACGTCTTCAGGGAAGGGAGTCCAGTTGCCCCTTGAAAAATGCACCTTTGGGATGAATGTCCGGTAGCACGCAGAGCCAGCAAAACAGCACGGCATGTGTTAATATTGGTTGATCTTTAGCGAATGCCTCTAAGTGTGGAATTAATTGCTCTAAACCATGGCAGAATTTAAAAGACCCAGAAACACTTGTTCCTTTGTTGAACAAGAAGAATTCGTTTCTAAATTTGGCCTGACTGAACCATCCGCAACTGGGAAACCACTTTATTGAGTAGGGTTTAACAGGGCTGTGGTTCGTTTAGTGGCGACATTAAGCCTGCCTTGGACTAGCTAGCTGGGGAGTTCTGGGAGTGGAAGTCCAGGCAGCGTTAAGATTTCCCGGTTTGGAAAAACACTGTTGGAGATGCTTAGAAGTACATTATAATCTGGGTTGGGATTCTACCGGTTTGGACCGGTTCCATAGAACTGGTTGTTACGATTCTGCGCAGTTTGGAGAACCGCCAAATCGTGCCCCTGGCTGGTCCCTCCCCTCTCCACCCAGTCAGTCCTCTATCACGCATGCCCGACATCGCTGACTGCGTTCTCCCCTGCCCAGCTACTCCTTAAGGTATTTCTTTCTTTTTCCCAACGATCAGCTGTTCCGATGATCAGCTGCGCTCACCCAGGAGGCTTCCCTAAGGCCCAGAAGGCAAAAATAAAA